ACATGTCCAAAAACTTTGCAGGATCAGCTTCAAGCGGTACTGAACCACTTAAACGAGTTCCGAAATGAACGGGGTATGGATATAGCGCCTTGAAGATCAGTAATGCTTCCGTTCACGAGGAAGCACCTTCGTAGATTTGAGCTAAAAATATAGGGTCAAACTTTGAACGCGTCTCGCATCATCGCTTTCTTGGAGTGACTCTAAATCTAAGCCTCACTTGGGTAAAACACATCGATATACTGGAGGCAAAAGTAAACGTACCAATCAACATTTCACGTTATTTTACTGAAGTTCGTTGGGAAGCCTCAACGAAATCCATGATAATGCTAAATTCTGCACTAGTTCAGCAAATTATTACATGTTCACCCCCAGCACTCCATAGATCATCTACAACGCAAGAAAATAGACTGCATTACAAAATCGCCCCTAGGCTTTGGATCTGCTTGGGCGTCCCGCGTCCAACTCGCGGAACAATGGTTTTAGCAGAAACAAGACAGTTACCTACTCCAATTTTACGCGAATATGAGACATTACGTCATTTCCTACGCTTGTTCGTTCCAAATTTTCACCCACTTGCGGAGAATTTGATTTATAGGACGGGCTCACATATTTCCTCGACACTGATATAGTCGAGCATCGTCGTGCCGGATTACGCACTGTGGTTTCCGACTATAGATCGGCCACTCTGGATGTTTCGCGTCGCAGATATTAGCACGGAACTACCCAACCTTAAGAAAAGCCTGAGCACATCTTATTTTGTGATTACTCAGTCGGCGCTGTCATACTTGCATAATTACTACAGAAACCACATTCATGTATAGACCTTTTCTGTGTACTCTCGTCCCCAGCCACCTAATAGGCGTATGCGGTATGGGCGACGAAAAAATACTAAAACGTTTCAACCTGTAACTAATAAAAAAAAATAAGGGGGAGGCAAAACGATAATGTGTGACGGTTACGCTCATATCCTAAGTGTCTTCTACTGACGTGGCGACGGCAAAACAATGTTTTCGCCCATACTGGAAGTGATGACAATTCAAGATGGCGGCGCCGTTGAAGAAAGGGTCTCTATACACGGATGGCTCTACGAGAAATGATGGCTCAGCCTCAGCTTTCGTAATACCATCAATGCAAGTGAAAAAATTTATTCGTTTGTCCCACAGAACGTCCTCTACTGCTGCAGAACTTTATGCAACGTTTGCGTCAGTGGGGTATACAAATGATGTAAAACCTCAAAACCAGTGGGATATCTGCACGGACACGCAGTCCTCGGTGGTTTTTCGTCGATAAACTCTAGAAGTCCGGCGTATGCATTGCTCTATACCAGCTAGCTGATATGATCGATCGGGCTATAAGTAATGGTCATTCATTAAAACTGCAGTGGATTTTCGGACATGGCGGAATCTCAGGAAACATGGAGGCAGACAAACTAATAACAAGTGCACATGCTTTAGAAAGAACTCGATGAATTCCTTTTTCCAAAAGAGACATAAAGTATCTAATTTCAGACCACTCCAAAGAAATGGCACTCGACATATATGGTTGAATGAGACAGGACGGCAGTCTACTCTCTTCGTGGTGGATCCAGAATTAGTTTCATATCCCAAACGATATACCGAAAAAATTAGAAACAATGCTTCACCGCCTGCGACTGAGTGTTGCTTTCACGAAAGAATTTTGCTACAAAATTAAGGAAATTGAGAACCCAAAATGTTTTTGCGGTCAGAATGTGGAAACTATTGAACACATTTTTTTTTTTAACTTTCCTCACTTTGATCGCAGTTGGTCCCAACTAAAATTACTGTTTTATATCCTGGATAAAAGGCCTTACTAGGTCCATGACCCAATCAAATCATGCATTACTAGGTCCATGACCCAATCAAATCATGCACAAAAGGCTCTCCAGGCAATAAAGAGGTTTCAGAAAGGCAGAGCATTGCCAGATATTAGCTTTTGAGTTGATAATATTGAGTTGATAAATTGAAAGGAGTGAATTATACCAATGTCTGTGTATGTGTGAACAATCTGGTGACAGTTGGTAAGACTCGAAGTGACACGTCATACCAAGAACATAATTGCAGTTCATTAAGTGTTTCTATCGTATGTGTCTATGTATGTGTGCACGTGTTGGTGTGTATAACCAGTGCTTGTTATTATTCAAGGATCATTGTCAGTGTGAAGTTGGAGTCGCACCCCGTACCTATCGCACGGGGCGCGACCCGCGGGTGACACTTCGAACGCTCTGACTCTCTGCACGACGGTCCAGCCGCGTCGCTCGAGCAGAGTTATGCTTCCGGAGGATGTCTTGTGTAGCTGGTGTGGCACGCCGTCGAGAGCGGGGCGGGCGATACTTGGGCGGTGTCTGCGGACTGAGTGTTGTGGTGTCTGTGAGCGGTGTGACTTCAGCATTAGACGTTTCTTCATTATGTTCCGTTATAGGTAGGGGGGGGGGGGGGAAGGGGGGGGGGCCTTCCCGCCCCCCCTACCTATAATTCGCTGAGGTGCATAGCAGCATCTATATGTTCGAAGTGTTTAATTTCTATGTCGGAAGTATTTTCTTCAATGGTAATGGAGTAGCCGGTCAAGCCTTAGAATGACTAACATCTATCTCAATTTATTATTTTAACACATATTGAAGAAGAAGATGATGATGAACCGTACTTGATGGAATGAATCAATGTCTTACGAAACCCCCGAAAGCCGAAATAAACGGCGGAGCCACGATTTGAACTCCGGGTGTGCTGACTACTACATCAATTCACTTTGGCTTTCTGGCGTTTCCTATCTGTCTTATTAATGCACAATAAACGAAATGTATCCAATCAGAGGTGTTCTGGAAGCACACACCGCCGCGTGGAACGCGGTAGGACGCTTTCTGGCGCGTGGTACGGGCTTGTTGTGCTCCAGAAATACTTAAACTGTTTGTCTCTTCACGGGTTCATGTAGTATTCTTGTTTGTGAGCCTTAGAAACATGTTATCATCATCATCCGCGAGAATCAAGAGCCACACTTTTTGAATATATCACGGGCATTTTTCTTCATTGTACGGCGGTCTCCAAAAAGGAAATAATCGAAAATCGAAAAAAATAAACAATTAACTGTTTTAACAGTTCTGAAGGTCGGAAAAGCGTTTCCTGTGATTTCAGATAAAGCTTCAGATCACTGGCAACCATGATTTTAAGCAACAAGGTCTTAGAAGGGCGGGAGGAACCATATGTTTGTCTTTTCAAACTAGGCTTGGTGGCGCAAGTTACCGCCCGTTACTAAGGGTATAGCTATTAACATCCATCCATCCATCCATCCAGTGGCTGAAGTGTCGTTACTGTAAAGCCAACGTTACTATACTCGTTTTCACTTCAAGAAAAAATGACGTTTTGCGCATTGTTCATACGCCGCGCGAAGTAGTTCTTAGAAGATTCAGCTGTTGGAGAAAGAAACGACGCTTTCGGCGTTTGAAACGTTTACGTCTTGGTAAGATAGCAGATATCCAGTCTAAAATACACCTATATAAGTCTTAATGCTCCACATAAATGGGAAAATTAGTATTGCGCCGCGAGGAGCCAGACTTCTTTTACTACGGTTCTTGAGGTGAAAACGGGTATAAAACCCTCAGTTGGGAAACTCACCCTTAAAACCTGGGCCGCTGGCGTCCACCAAGACCAAGCTAAATACGATAACAGCGCCACCTTTTAGCGACGAGTTAAAACATAAAAGCTACTTTACATAGCTACTGCGAGATGTCCCTGCGAGATGGCGCCACCGGCCCTTGCCCGACTCGACGTGCAGCCGTGCAGTTCCCGGAGTGGACGCTGCGGGAGAAATGGCGGCGCTGCGATCGCCATTAGCTCGGTTCTCGAGTACGGATCGGAGCTACTTTTTTAAAGCAGGCTCCATGGCAGTTTCCCAACTGAGGGGCTCTAGTAAAGTTGTGTAAAGCGTAGCTTATTTAGTGGCTCTAGGTGCGATGACTCGAAGCTTATTCCACCGTGATTTTTAAGTACACGATGGGACTTGTAATTCGCAAGTAAAGTGCCGTCACGGCACTCGATCATTACCACGACGCGAATCCAAATATTCGTCGACGGATGAACTGTTGACGAGCACGTATAAGGAGTATTCACTGGGCGCCATATTTGTGGGTGATGTCTAGAGCGCATGCTCTGAACGAGCACACATTAATAGGCTGCTAAGACCGGCAATCTTGAGGGTGCGGAATGCACATTGCAAAAGAACCGGGGGAAGCTCGCCATCAGCACGCGGTCAGCAGTCGTGCACACAACTGTGGCCGCCAGTGAATACTTCCTATACGTCCGAGTGACGCGGTGCTTGTGTCCAGTGCGTGAGCAGGGTTAGGCTGACGTGCTTGGGCAACGCGGATGCGTCACATTGAAAAGGCGGAGAACCTTTGAAAGAAGGGAGGCAAGAAACAGTATGCAATAACTTCAAATTTTGGTACCGAAAGGCAGGCTTTTGAATTTTCGCCCTGGTGTGCTAGTTTTCTTTTGGGCCACTAAACGATATGCGAATAGTAAAATTCCAATCTAAAATCATTTATCCCAGTCCAAAATTAATTTCATTGTCCCTCTATGATGAGAATCATTACCATAAGGAAGTTTTAAAATGACTCGGAGAGCGGGTTGGCGAGTACGCTGCATTCATTTACTTTACTACTGAACACACCCACGACATTACGTGCGTCACCTTTAAGTCACCTATAGAGTTATCACCTTTTACACCAGTTACCCCCACGGCTAGAGGATTGCTCAATGCTGACGGAAAAGGAACAATATGAGGTGGGCGATCTATCGGTGTTAGGTATTTTTTCGAGATGTTGTGGCCTGTGATTGGCCCGTCACGGCTTGTGATTGGTCAGAAGTGTTATGTCGGGGCTTGTGACTGGTAAAAAGGTGCAGTTTTTTCAACCATACCCAACTTTCGCCCAACCAATGGCGTTTTCTCAATTCGAGAAATAAATAGGGCGGGCCATACTTTGCTTCCAGATTCACTTCATCGGACGTGACTACGACCAGCTTTATCAACTCGTTCCCCGTGAACGACTGCCCGAGGAATACGGAGGAACAATGGCCAAATTCGACTATGACGAATTCGAGAAGACCTTAAGCAGCGCGGAAAACTTCTTTCTGGAGCTTGGACAATACGGCTACTGCAAGGATAAAGCATCGAAACACTCGTCTGGGCCCGAATGAAGCGTTTGTCTGAATACTGTAAAGTGATCACTCCTGTGCGATTAACGTTTGCAAACCGTAATGAGTCAAATAAAGTGGTGAAAGATTGATCCGTGGAGTAAAGTCCCGTTGGTGTCTGTGAATCAAACAACCCATTATCACTTCCGGATCACATTACTGGAGCTCGCTTTCTTTTCCTAAACTCCCAATCGGGGTCACTGACCCCTTACTTCTACCGGGTGGCAATTAAAATTGTTTGTCTCCGCTGCCAAAATGAAGCAACAAAGCGTCTGGTGGAGCAGTTCCCTTCTTGTAAAAATTCCGCTCTAACTTTTGCAGCGAAATCTACCGAAGAAATTCTTTGTGTGACGTCAGGTGCCGCTGCTAAATTTAGCGTGTAACCGCAGTGTCATATGACACTGGGACGTCGCAGTTTCACGTGACGTTAAAGTTTCCCCGCTAAATTTAGCAGTAATGTTCACCCCTTATATTTAGTAGGAATTGAGTGTCACGTTACGTCATGGTATCACGTGACCACGTCATGTGACGTCACAATCACGTGACGTCATGGTAGAACGTGGAGTAACAATGTCACGTGATGTCATATCAAGTTGCGTCAAAAAGCTAGGGAGTGTCATGCAGAGCCTGTGTAAGCTTTAGGTGACCTTTGGTGTATTGATCTGTATTAATGTCTTAATATGTACATGTATACATGTATTAATCTGTGATCAACATTTTCACCCTTATAGTGGAGGATGAAAGTGCACACTGGGTGTTTTTGCACTCATTCTTTGTCCAAATTCCTTCACAATTAACTAAATTAACAACCTTAATCAGTAGCCTACATAGTGCCTGTCGTCGCATCTATGTTGTGACATTTCCTTAGTGCAACGTATTTGCCCCAGACGCATTGGTTGCCCTGACTTCAAATCCTCGTAGACCACTTACTGCCGCCATATAAAGAAAATAAACAATGTTGATGGTATAGCAAAGTAATCCAACAACAAACTCGTATCAAAACTCAGGTCCTATATTATATATATCACGCCATTATTGAAGTACGTGAGAAAAAACAAAAAAACCTTTGGAATGTAAAATGCCGTATACTGAATTTTCATCAGGCAGAAAAGGAACATTAGCATCACTGAAGTGTGTTAACTCTCAACGGATAGTAATTGCGAATTGCATTATTTTTAAAAGGCAATATAATGCTTATAATTAATTACTTATGTTGGACAATTCGTCGAAGGTAAGTTCGTCCAAGAAGCGATCGGGTCGCCACTTTTTTTTTTATAACATTGCGTTTAGTTTCTGCGTCCGAAGACGAATATATTGTATGACGGATTCGTGTGGGCCGCAATTTGAATAACCACGATGCGATTTGCTTAAGGTATTTATTGGATAATCTATGTGAGAGACAAGTTAATCTCGTTTTTCGCATGAAGTGCTACTCTCCAAAATTACTTCTCAAACAACTTAAATACAATGTAAAAAGGGAAAAGAAAAGACTAGTTTGAGCCGTTGCACGCCTCCACACATTACCAGAAAAACAGTGCGGCGTGGGCGACCAAAACAAACGGCACATCGGTGTTTCGTCATGGAGAGTTTTAGTAGATCCGTGTTTCCAGGCCACGCTCTTTATAGCGGGAGCTCGCGCTGGCCACTTGGATGCATGCTCTGGAGCACGCACCCGTAGCGGTAGCGCGCCTTTGAAAACGATCTACTAAAACTTCCTATTTAGATTCACGTACGCTGCGGATTGGAAGCACCACGGACACGTGCTAAATTCGAGTGGTGACGGTAGCCTACGAGCTACCGTCAGCGTTCGCGAGCATCCTAGCAATGACAAAATATCAAACACTAAAACTAATAAAACTAGTAATCATGGAGTGCGATGAGATGGGGCACAAACGCGTGATCTCGCTGATCCGAGGATAACTCTTCGGAGTTTCCCGTTTTCCTATTGGGCCAGTGTCCGCTGGCACATGGTCCGCTATAAAAAGAACACTGTCACAGAATTCGAGCGTTTTGTGTGTTTGGTTTTTGAATTGATTTTTTTTTCTTTTTGTTCTTGCCGTCTATTCGGCTGGCCCGGCGCATTGAGCGGCAGGGTTCGTTCCTCGTCCGTTTTTTTTTTTGTTTTATGACCCCCTGGCCCCGCGCGTTGAGCGGCGGGGTTCGGGCACCGTCCGTTTTCTGTTTTATGACCCCCTGGCCCCCCTCGTCCCGAGGACGATTCTCGCGAGGTTTTTTTGCTGGTAGCGATGGGCCCCTCGGCTTCCCGGAATGTTGGGAATGGTTTCCAGATGTCCGAGTGGGGGTGCGCTGTATGGTTCGCTGGGATAGGCTCACTGCGGGGCCTGCCAGTGTGACGTGTGTTTTTGTTGATATGTATTTTGTTGTTGAAACTGTTGAAAAACAATTATTTTTTGAACGAGGGAGAGTGGTGTCTGCCGCTGGAATTTGGGAAAGTGCGGACCTCGGCTTGATTCCGAGCCGAGTTGGCCGAGTCAAGTTAGTGTGCGCGAAGACTTGGCCCGGGGGTGTACGCAACGCGAAGTTTGGGGCGGGACTGCGGTAGCGACGGAAGGCTGAGCACGGGAGGAGTTTGGGCTCCCTGGTCCAAGCGCTGCTTTGGGCGCCCAAGTGTGTGTGCGTTTGTGGGTGAGTGCCTGTGCCGAGGAGCCACGCCGACAGCACCCAGGCGCACATCGACATCCCAGGTTCGGTCGGCATCGCAAGAGGCCGCGTCACCCCCATCACCCACCGGACTCAGGTTCGCGCCACTCACCCCCCATATTACTTTGTATAGTTTATCCCTCCTTTAGTTTTTTTTTGTTCCTTTGAGTGCAAGTACTTAAATTGCAGAAAACTTTCTTTCTGAACGAGCGCTGTGTTTTTCATGTACAGATATAATCATACAACATAAGTCGCGCCTCAGCGCTTACTCTATGGGGCGGTCTGTTGTGTCTTGCTGTTGGAAGTTTTGTTTGTTTTGTTTTATGCATTGTCTAACGTATTTTCAGTAAACTATTTTTGTGGCTGAAAAGAAAAGAGTCTGTGTTGTTCATTCTCCCCTCACCGTGAGTCCGTCACCAGGGCGTGGACCTATCGTCCGGTCAGCGGTCCTATCAAAATTATAAATTTGTTTGCATAGGATATTATTTGGATCTTTTATTGTTAATTTTCACCGAACCTGTGACAAACTGGCGTCCGCGACAGGACCTGCTGACCACGGTGACGGCTCGGGCTGAGAGGGGACTGGAACGGAGAGTGTACAGTTAACCGTTACCGTAAATGGCGGGCTGTATAAAGCCTACGTGTATGCGGGACCCCACCGCTTGGCTTGCCGATCGCTAATGAGGCGGGAGTTTAAACCCTTGTACAGAAACTAGAGCGAGTTTGAACAAAATATGGAGCTCAACGAGCTAATCGCGTGCGGCAAAGAGCTCGGACTTGAGGGAGCGGCTCTCAAGAAATGGGTTGATCACGAAAGGGCCCAGGACAGAGCAACGAAAGCTCAAGAACAAGAGCAGGCACGGGAGGCGGAGCTTCGAAGCTTGGAGCTTAAGATTAAACTGCAGGAACTGCAGAACGCGGCTCCGCCAGGGACAGGTGAGAACGGGACGGCGTCGGCGTTGGTCAAGAGCCCACAGCGGTGGCTACCAACGTTTGACGAAAAGAAAGATGATCTCGACGCTTATTTGTCGCGCTTCGAGAGACTTGCGACCGGGCAGCTCTGGCCGCGCGCAGGAGCAATGGGCCACGGCCTTGAGCGTATGCTTGTCCGGAGAGGCGTTGGCGGTGTTTGCCCGACTAACCCCGGAGGATTCGCTCGAGTACGAAAAGGTGAAGAAGGCGCTCCTCCAGAGGTTTCGCTTAACCGCCGACGGCTTTCGGGACAAGTTCAGAGGTGCAAGGCCCGACAAGGGTGAAACGGGTACACAGTATGCGGCTAGGTTGTCCAGCCTTTTTGACCGTTGGATCGGCCTGTCGGGAACAGAGAAAGAATTCTCCGCCTTGCGTAACTTACTGCTTACGGAGCAGTTTGTTCGAAGCGTATCGCCGAAGATGTCCCTGTTTTTACGAGAGCGAAAGGGCAGAGCGCTGGAGGACATAGCGAGCCTCGCAGACCGCTATCTCGAGGCCCAGGAGCAGGAGCCCGTAAGGCACGAGGATACTGGAGGGGGTCCCTCGCAAAATGCATCCCATCTGAAGCCCAACGGAAAACGGAACGAAAACAACAGGTCCCCGGGAAAATGTTTCTTGTGCGGCAAGAGCGGACATTTGGCGGCTGAATGTCGAAGTGGAATGAACCAAAACAGGAAGGCAGTGGTCTGCCAGAATTGCGGCAAGACGGGGCACGCGGCTAACAAGTGCTGGAGTCCGGTCGGAGGGGCGCGGGTTTCCTGCTTGCATGCGGCCGGGGAAGAGATGAACGCCGTATCGGATCGTGTGAGAAATGGTTATGTAGAGCTGCGGGACGGCACAAAGGTACCCGTGGTAAATGCAATGTCCGCAGCCGCCCTTCTCACAGGTGACATGCCGGTGGCCGCCGGCAGGCTACAGGGACAGGCTGTCACGGTTCTGCGAGACACGGGATGCAATACTGTTGTGGTGCGCCGGGACCTCGTTTCCGACGAAAGCCTGACGGGACGGTCGAGCCTCGTCTACTTGGTCGACGGAACCGCGAAGGTTTTACCTGAGGCCAAAGTACATGTCCAGACTCCGTTCTACAGCGGGACTATCACTGCGAAGTGTATGGACAGCCCATTGTACGACGTCATTCTGGGAAATATTCCGAATGTGCGTGCTCCCGGGGACCCCGACGTAGACTGGAATAGGTCAGACGAGACCAAAAACCGAGCCCCAGATGACAAGCCAGAAAATACTGGGGTTTCGACGACCGCTGCCGTGGAAACTAGATCCAGGAAGAAGATGGCAGGGAAGGGCGTCAGTCCGCTACGAGTGCCAAGCATTGAAGGCGCCCCCGCGGGGCCGGAAGAGTTGGCTACACAACA